ATCAGAGCCGGGTTGTGCTCAAGCTAGCCTAGTGATTGGCTAGGAGACGGGTTGAGTACTTGGACCCTGAGGTACTCGGTTGAGGGGGAGCATATCAATATGGGTTTCACACTTCAATGGGAGATTGTTGGAGTATTCAAGTGTGGTGAGTCCCAAATTGGTTGGTAATGGGCTAAGTGAAGTAAATATAAGTGGATGGACCTATTAACCCAATGCCTTAAGATTTTTGGTTGAGATATGGTGTTGGATCCCCTTGTTGTGGTGTCGGGTCCAGGTAGAGCCCAACTTGGTAACCTGCTTGGGCTCGAGCTAGCATGGTGATTGGCTAGGAGGCGGGTTGAGTACTTTGGCCCTGGGGTACTCGATTGAAAGGGAGCATATCAATGGTGAGTTTCACACTTGAGGGAAAGATTGTTGGGATGTTCAAGTGTGATGAGTCTCACATTGGTTGGTAAGGTGCTAACTGACATACATATAAGTGCGAGGACTTATGAACCCAATACCTTAAGGTTTTGGGTTGAGACATGGTGTCGGACCCACTTAGTATAGTTGGTTTAGCTTAGCCCATTGGTGGTGGTCCCCCGCCATGGGCTTCCCCTGGACTCACCTGACAGTGGTATCAGAACTGGGTTGGGCTCGAGCTAGCCTGGTAATTGGTTAGGAGGAGGGTTGAGTACTTGGCCCTGAGGTATTCGATTGAGGGCGAGCATATCAATGTTAGGTTTCACAAGGGAATATTATTGGAGTATTCAAGTGTGATGAGTCTCACGTTGATTGGTAATGAGCTAAGTGAAGTGCATATAAGTGGATGAACTCATTAACCCAATGCCTTATGTGAAGTGCATATAAGTGGATGAACTCATTAACTCAAGGCCTTAAGGTTTTGGATTGAGATGTGGTGTCAAATCCACTTGATATGATTGGTTTAGCTTAGCCCATTAGTAATGATCCTCCACCACAAGCTTCCCCTAAAACCCACCTGACACGATGATTACCTTTTAAATTGGATGGTTCTTAAATCTTTGCTAGCGGTAGAGAATAATTAAGGACCTGTCAGAAAGTTTATGAAGTTTATTACTGCATATTGGTCGTCTATCCAATCTTATTTTCTTCTTATCTGACCCGGTGATATAAAAGCAAAGGACTAACAAGCAATACAAAAACATACAAGGGTTAAAATATAAATAACGAAGACCTACAGCAGCATGATATTAGAAGTTATCAACCAGGTCCTACGTGGCTGTAAGAGTGGCTTGTCTTGCTTGTTTAGGATGAATAAAATTATTACTGGGACCTGTGGCCGCGTCGGACCAATACCATTGAACTATAGACCACGAAATTTAACTAGCAAAATACCAAAACCTTGAAACCACCCGATTCCTACTAGCTTTTAAAATTCCCGGTTTTCAGGTAGGGATGCTCTCTTGAATAGTAATGTAGCTTCCCCCGGATTAATGACCTATAACTATCATCAGGAATCAGGATAAAGAAGATAATTATAGGTACTTAAAGTGTTAGATATACCATTATTATGTAAGTATAAGTAGATTATCTTACAATCAATGTATCCAAAAATCTTTTTTCCATTTATATATATGAATTCAATAAAAAAAATGATTGAATGTTAATCTTAGAAGAATAAAAAATATCTAAAAATTAAGGGTATTAACCAAATATTAGTCGACTTATAATAAGTCAAGTATAACGAGATATCCACGATGAGTGCAGCAAATCACCGTAATATTTTATTTTAGGTTTCTCATTTCTGCTGTCACTGCTGATGGAAAAACTTAGCAAATATATTTACATAAGATATGGAGCCGGATCCTGAAATTAAAAAAAAAAAGTTTCAAGATACGAAATCGGATCCTAGTGAAAATAAGTATTGCTGCAACAGGAAAGCTATTAAAGCCTTTCTTTTTATAGTAATAGGACCCATCACGAACGAACAGTCACATCAATACTGATTAATTCCTTTCTGATCATATCGGTTGTCGCTGCAGTCAGCTGCGAGGAAGTTCGGTGATAACTTGACGACGACAATGTGGTCCGTCCCTCTTTTTATGGGATACCACGACTGCCACTAGCTCAACATTAATGGCCTAATAGACCCAGAACAGGTAAGAATAATCCACGAAAAAGGTTTAGCTTTAAAATAGAAATAAACAAAAACAGGGTTTATACCTATTTCGAAGAGCCTTTAATTTTTATATGGGTAAATGATTTCTACTTCAAAAACTGAAAAAAGATTCTCTAAGACTGAAACAAAATGATAGAGAGAAAAAATAATGAGATAAAAAACATAAATTTTATGTCTCGTTAACAGATAATTTTTTTTGCTTTTAAAGCAAAAATCATTTGCCCTTTGTATAAATCACAATCTTCACTATAATTGTATAAGGCAAAAGTATTTCTGCAATTACGGCCAAATATTTTGTCTTCCACATATAAAAAACTATTAGAATACGACGTTGGATTTTGATAAAAAAAAATTTAAAATTAATGGATCTTATTTTTTGTCTCTAAGAGAGACACTACTTTTCTGTTGGTGCAAAAAACTAATACACTGTATAACGTGGATAATATAAGAATTCTGAGCAAGTCTGTATGTTTCATGCTAGTTGTTCACTTTTGTGAAAGTTTTTTATTTTCGTTTTGTATAGATCCATATGAATTGTATTATGAGTATGGCTATCAAAATCGAAAACAATTCTAGCTCTATAGTAACGTTAATGTTGGATTTTGGGTCTAAATTCCATGGATTATATATGATAATATGAATAAGAAGTTTGGTATTGAAAATGTGTGACTTTTCGTCTACAAACAGATGTGTTTTTTCATCTTAACGGATGTATTGCTTCATCCTAACGGACATATTGTTTAATCCTTGAATTAATAGGTGTCTTTTCGTGTCAAACAAATGTATCTTTTCATGTCGAACGGATGTGTCTTTTCGTATCCAACGGATGTGTTATTTCGTCGTTAAATAAGTGCTTTTTGAATCGTGACTTTTATATATATAGGCGTTCACACCGTCAGAAATTATAATCTATCATTCGTCATTTCTACGTCGTTATTATGCATGCATGCACTGTGCATTCATACCATATTATTAGAAAAATGTGATTTCCTCAAACGTTTGGTTGTGTTCGTTGCGCTCTTGATTGATAGTGTCATCATTCTTGAGACGAAAATCCATTTTATCCTGGGAGGTAATTGTTCGTGAACCTTCAGCATCAATAGAGGGAACAAATTGCCTTAAGAAGACAACTTGTGTTAGGCTTGAGTTCCTTCAATTTTCTGCATTTCTGTTCTAATTTTTTATTGCCCTTTGTTTTTTAAAATTCTGTTTAATTACAATATAAACGTTACATACGAATTCAAATCTCTTGACGATCATTCACTCATTGTCTTTACAACAGTTAAAAAGTTGACTATTATTTACGTTCAATTTTTTTTATCAAATATATAAAAATTTATATCCTCCATATCATTCAACTCCGGACTAACCATAATATTACCATTGAAGATCCTTTAAAACTACTTTTTCATAGGCCTTCAATAAAACAAGGGAGGTATATATATTTGTGAAACACTCCCACGTTCAAATCAGATATTATACAAGCAGATTTAATTATATATGGGGAGATATTATCTTGTGTTTAGAACAGTAATATTTATAATGAAGGATTACTCGCTTTTGGGAATCCTCCTAATAGTTCCCAACAAGCGGGTGAGACGACTAAATCTCCCTGTTGATTGTATATTTGTAGGTATAGGTGGCTTAAGAGGTGGTTATAAAGAAGAAGAAAAAAATATGCAACTATTTTTGTGTACCGGACTTAATATGTCATTCTAGAATACAACTCAATCATATTTTAAAATAATCTATATGACAAAATAAAGTACAATAATTAATGAATTGATTTGTCCAGTATTTTTTTAAGCACATGATCCAACAATAATATTCACTATTTCTGTATTTCCCAGAAGGAGTGGAAATTTTCTGACATGCGCACTAATCAATGGTAAGTATCACACCGCATTGCTTAAGAAATTGGAATAACACCTTGTGACTAATACTCACCTATAGGATTATGCCCAACTACGCATCTAATTAATACTCGTCTAATCACTGAACAGTTCGTTTGTCTTTTTCTTCCCTTATTATTTGGTTGTAAGTGGGGTCTATAGGACAATGGCCCCTGACACAGAGGGAGAAAACCAAGGATTAGGAGGAATAAATCTTTAGTACTACTGTTATACCTAAATTCAGTGCATCTCATCAATGAGAGCATTATTACTACTGAATCTTTGGTACAGCAGTAGTACCAAAAATTTATTCAATTAGGAGGTGAAGCCGAATGCAACATCAACGAAAACGTTCTAGTCTAGCCCAACTAAAGAATGAGATTTCAAAAACTTAGCCCAGCCCAATTTGATTAATGGACAAAAACAAACAATGTTCCAACGACAGGGTAGCCCAATGGCTTCTTTATCCCCTCCTCTCCATTTCCCTTCTCATTTTCATGTTCAATGCAAAGTAAGCAATGAACAAACGCCAGTGTGTGTTAGGCTTGGATGTTTGATAAATTATTGCTATGTAGCTAGAAGCTAGTTTGTCTATGAACTAAGAACACATTATTTGTGGATTGGGTTTTGGTTTGCGTATAAAAATTAAGGGAAAACATTTTCTCATGTTGTATGAGAATTCAATTCTCATGTTGTGACCCAACTAATGGTGGGTTCCACATTTATTAGAAAAAGAAAAAGAAAAGAAAAGTTTTGCACGCATATCGAAGGGTCACAACATGAGAATTGAATTCTCATGCAACATGAGAAAATCAAATCCCATAAATTAAAGGTTGTAAAACCAAAAGAATATATTTGAGGTTGATTTGTTGTCTTGCTGAAAAATGTAGGGTGAACTTGATATGAAAAATTGTATGAGAAACTTATCCTTAATTCTTAACTTGGAAATACTGGGAGAATATCTCTGTTGATCTCATCTAAGGTGTGAAGCTGAAACATTTAATAATTGATTAAAATGGCCTAGTCCTTATGAATACACTTGGATATGAATCAACATTATATAATATATAATCCTAGTTTAGACCGGGATGCCTTTTTACAATGTGTTTGTTGAAGGCTGTGATTTGGTTGCTGTTCATTATAATAGAATAAACAGCACGGTTTAACATATTGTCTCAGGAAGACTCCTCTGTTTGAGCAGCATAAACTGTTCTCAACCACCGTGACAAATTGATTAAGAATGGCGTATACACAAAGTAGCAAGTGAGTGTCCAAGTAACTAGTCCCTGAATGTAGAATTCATTATAATTTTTGTGTTAGGACTCTGGATGATAAAAGACAGTGTTGGGAGGTAGTATGAGAAATCATCAACAATTTCACAAATTAATGAAAGGCCTTTAGCGGAAACAGGTTGTAATATGAACACTACCTGGCCAAGGATTTCAATATTCGCTTGAGGATAGTACCAAAGGTGGAAGAACCTGAAAGAAGCAAAAGAAAGGTATCCATCAATAAGTTATAACCAAACATATTACACACTTGTTCATATCATGTACTGGGGATGAGAAAAAGAAAGTCTTTACTTCATTATGGGTATCTCAGCCAGTGGACAGCCAAGCCCCACAATGCATGCCAGGTTGAACCCTGACCATGTCCTATCCAAGAAAAACCATATGAACTCTGCTGCAGCAAATAATATGTAGGCCTCAATGTTGTCAGCAATTCCGGCTTTGTAAAGTTCAGCACTCAATTCTATAAACAGCACCAGCAATCTAAGACAGGAGAACCACATTTATATTGGCAGGGTGGCATACTTTCAAAAAGCACAATAGGAGAAATAAGAAACTTTTTCCTGCATTTTTTGATTTCATATTATAATGCAGAAGTAGGTACTTACATCAGTGAGGCAATTGTTTTAGCTAAACTTCCCTCTTGAGCCTTGTTTAAGACCCTTTGATCTAGGTAGAGTTGAAGCAAACCAACCGAGCAGTAAAACAACCCCAGCAAGAAAGGAACCTATCCATATCAATTTGGAGAAGAAAGATAAAAGCTCAGCCAATAAAATGACAAACAGCAGAAAGAAGGGTACAGAAAAATTTAAAGTTGAAACTCACCCAGATATTTGTGTGGAGTGGACCTAAGTCAATGGACCCTGTCTTGTACACCACGAGATTGACTCTTGAATGGAGTCCATCGAGAAGGGGACCAAATGAGAAGCCTGTGCCAAAAAGTGAAAGTGACACCCAAGGCCATGAAGTTCTAAGGCTTGTTCGGCTCTGCTGTCTCTGAGCACAGTGAGGCTTAAGCAGACACGGTCTGCATACACTGTGGAGAGGAAAACTGCGACGTTGGAGAGTATAACCCAGAAGACATGAAAAGGAACCAGATGCAAGAAGGTATTGCATATTATTCCTCTTAGGTGGGCATTCAGTGGAAAATTATTGGATTTTGGAACGGGAAAAGAAGGGATGTACCCTTCAAATAATACTACTACTACTACAACCTTTTTTGGGAGTTTAATTTCCTTTTATTAAATGCCTATTTAATTGTGACCACAAACTCGGTTGGACGCTTTATACTCTACGTTGTGATGACTGATGAATGAGAATGATCACTAGTTCACTACTCTAACTCCAATACCTATTACTATTAGTACCAAACGGAGGACTCGAGTTATCATACTTATCATCGATGGAAGAGGGATTCCTGCTGTTTTCCCAGGGAGGACACCTGTGCTTTGCTGGTGTCTTTTATTTTATTTTTTATTTTTAATGTTTACAATATGA